AAGTGTCGGACTACCACTTGCACGAGAATGGGACTCCACAAGGAGGGGTCCTCAGTCCTAGTCTTTTTAACATCCTTATGGAAAACCTTGTTACCATGTCCTTTACAGAAGGGGTTACATTGCTAAGCTATGCTGATGATCTAGCATTAGTCGTTACGGGTCCTTCACTTCTAAATAAAGCTCAAGGTGCTTTAGATCAAGTGGCATCTGAATGCAGTGTTTTAGGGCTAAAAATATCTGCACAGAAGTCTAAGGCGATGAGACTAGGTGGCAAGGCTCCAGACAGGCACCTACGCATTCAGGACATTAACCTTCAGTGGGTTACACAATATCGATATCTCGGAGTGTGGATTGATTTTAAAATGACATTCCATAAGCAAATTCAATATCTAAAGGAGAAAGCAAAGTCACGAATAAATATAATGAGAGCAATCACAGGGCCCCGTCTAGGAGCGGGACACAGAGTGTTGAGAATGTTTTACATACACGCCGTTCGTTCCCTGGTTGATTATGCAGCGCCTGCCTTACTCACTCTTTCTCCTGGTCAGTGGGCAAACGTTGAGGTTCTTCAAAATGATGCATTGCGGGTCATAACAGGTGCTCCCAGATGGACTAAAATCCTGAACCTAAGACTAGAGACAAAGCTAACGTCGATTGAAGTAAGGGTAAAGGGGATTGCTGCGTGCATGCTGACCAAGATATTGACTAGACCTAGAATCAGTTCACTTAAAGATATGATCACTGGAGCACTAACTCTGGACAGAAGAGCCTCCAATGGCAACAGGTGGACCCATTGTGCGATAAACGCCATCGATACATTCGATATGGCAAACACAGTCACTGAGAGGGGTGTCGACGACATACATGCAGACTTTGTTATGCAAGCCCCTTGGGAATCTCTGCCAGCAGACTTTCAGATTATGGTTCTTGACGGGAAGAAGAACCAGACACATCCTCATCTGCTCCGTCACTTTGCACAGATGCATATAGAAGCAAACATGGCAGCCGACAGCTTCACTTACTTCACGGATGGGTCAGTAGACCAGCAGGGACAGGAAACCGGAGCTGCAGTTAAAGCAGGAAACTCTGTATATAGTTGGAGGCTCTCAAATGGGTGTTCAACTTTACAGACTGAGATGCTAGCCATTCAAAAGGCTTTGGAACATGCTCTTGCTGAACACCGTCAACATGTTATCATCCATACAGATTCGAGAACCGCCATTGAAACCTTGCAACAGGAACACCTATGTGATAACATCCATCTGATCACCAATGTCTTATCATTCATGCACACACTCAAACGACAAGGCCGACGGGTACTTATCAACTGGGTGCCAAGTCATGTGGGACTATTAGGTAATGACATTGCAGACGAAGCTGCAAAACTTGCTACTAAGAGGAGGAATGTAGACATTTACATACCACAGAGTCTATCCCAGATGAAGAAAGTGATTCGAAACAGAGCAATGCGAAGGCTGTACAGTGACCTCAACACAGCAGTTGCAACATCAGGATCTGCGGGTTGGTACAAGAATTCAACCAACTACGAACCACTTAGTTTGATGAACGGAGGCAGTAGAACAACAGAAGTGCACTTACATCGCATCAGGCTTGGATACCCATGTGCATGGGAAATAGGCTTACGGGTTCCGGAAGGTGAGAGGAAATGTCAACACTGTGGAGAAATGCCCGACAGACCACTGGAACATTATCTAACACAGTGCACAGTTACAAACCCGTTAAGATTTCACCTTCGATTCAACAGAGCAGAGGAAGTTGTTAAGCACATATGGCAAAATCTTACTGAAGCGACCATACGGGTCATACACACTCATCCTCCGCCCAGGTAAAACAGACACAAGCATCACTTAGTGGGCCAGCCAGAGGCTTAGGGCCCGCGCAGGATTATCCCTGCTAAAAAAAAAAAAAAAAAAAAAAAAAAAAAAAGTTGATAGTGTTCTCGTCTGCCGACAGATGGCATCAGCTGTATTATTATTATTTTAATAATATTATTACATTAATAATAATGTATTCTTATTACTTTAAACACTGATCTATACGTCTGGTAGCTTATAATAAGGTTTTATACCATTCTGGTATTATATAGGTAACTAGAATTCTGCAATTACTTTTTTTTATCTACTGTTGAGGATATATAAGACAAATGTAAGGTTTTGAGGCTAAGTAACGAAGATAGTTACAAGATCCAAGCCAGATGGTGTTGAGATTGCAAAAGGGATTATGATAAGAACTTAAGCCAAAAAATCAATGCATAAATGTTCGCATAATATGAGACTGGGATTTATTTCTCGAAAAGTTAACAATAAAATACGCTTTCTAGTTCATTATTTTTAAAATTAAGACCAGGGATTCTGTCTAACGAAGCTGCAAGCTAAAACACCGTTATCCTATAATGTTCATCTGTAGCTTGACCCTAAATACTGTTTATTAAACGAATTTATTGTTAGAGTTCATTAGGAATCAACTTTGTTGAAGGCCGAGCTTCCAGAGATACCGTCCTGTGATTGGCTGTTGCGGGGAATACCAACACTCTTTACTGAATAAAATTTTAACTAAGAAATAGGTCCTTGTGCACAACAACAAGGTTGTTGTGAAAAAGAACAACAATTTCTGTTTTAAACAAGACAGAAATCTCCATCTAACTGAATAATTTACTGGAATAAGAGGGCAGAGCAGCGTATCATTATTTGTGTGAGGCAACCCCCACTGATGACGTCACAAGTCAGGTAGCCAGCCCATGTTTCTGTAACACTCGTTACGTCCTGCAGTATTTAATTATCACTATATTAATACTTTTAAATACTTAACATTTCACTTTTTAGGTAGATTAAAGTTGAAGCAGAATGTCATAAGCAAGGATGGTGTGCTGAATAAATATGATTTATTAAGTGGATGGAGCCTTTAGCTGATCCTATCACCCCCATATACCATCTGTGGGCGGAGCTTGGAACCTCCTACCCGAGCACAACAACCCGCCTTATGGGTTGCTGTTTGGCTATTTATAGTGCGTTGGAAAAAAAAGAGATGGCGCTAGTAGTATTTTGTAGGGTAATTTGTTATAGGTGTAATTTGATGTCAACAGATGGCGTAAGCTGTATCTTATGGGCACTGTTGACCAGCCAGTTGATAGTGTTCTCGTCTGCCGACAGATGACATTAGCTGAGTTATTATTACTTCCGAATTCCCTTTAAACACTGATCTACAAATCCCTTGGCTTATGATAAGGTTTTATACCATTTTTTTTTTTTTTTTTTTTTTTTTTTTTTTTTTTTTTGAGATATATACAAGAGTTGTTACATTCTTGTAGAGCCACTAGTACGCGTAGCGTTTCGGGCAAGTCCTTAATCCTATGGTCCCTGGAATACGATCCCCTGCCGCGAAGAATCGTTTTTTCATCCAAGTACACATTTTACTGTTGCGTTAAACAGAGTATTTATGATAAGTATTAGATAACTGGAGTTCCGCAATTACTTTTATTTATCAACTGTTGAGGATATCATCATATAATGTCTGGTTAAGACGTACTGCTCTCAGTTGATGAAGATTAAGCCACCCTAGAGGTGGCACGGGCATGAATAGCCCGTAAATACTGCTTTCGTAATATTATTCAGGGGGGTGGGGGGAACTATCAAGTGAAAGCGCCAAGCCATTACGACTATATAGCACTCGGAAGGGGTTAGGATACGGATTTGGGATGGAACGGGGGAAAGGAATGGTGCCCAACCTCTTGGGCGGTCGGGGATTGAACGCGGACCTGTAGGAAACGAGACCGTGTCTCTACCGTCCACCCCAAGTGGTTAAGCGTAATATTATTAAAACAACAATTTATGCATAAAATAACAGCATTTTACACTAAAAATACTTGGATGTATTGAAATTTGGTAGTGAATTCCAATCTAGGAATCTCCTATGACTAAACTGTACTTTTTAATCATTTTTATGTACTTACGACTTATTATTAAATTATTAAGTACTTACTATAATAATTAAATAAATTATTTTATTTAATATTTAAATTAAATGATAAAATAATAGGTAATAATAAATCATTGTGTAGGGGGACAGGCAGCCAGTGTATATATACATGTTAGGCTTATACCAAGGTGCCACAAAGGTGCCACAAAGGTGCCAAATTAAAGACTGGGAGCTGCCGGGGCGGGCCCAAGGGCTGCTGGCGGCCCTGGCCAGGCTGAACTTCCGCGCCCTTATAATCACCATTGTTTAATAATCTTCACAGGGAGAAACAACTGTAAATATAGGAATAGTTTATTACAACATACACGGTAAAGAAAACAGCTCGGAAACTAAGGAAATAAAGCTGCCGAAAAAACATTAAAGTCCACTTCAAGTTCAAGTATGTTTATTGAGACAATAAAAAATACATCTCAAATGGATAGAGTAGCTTAGGCTATTTCTACCCCCCCCCCCCTCTAATTCAAGTCCCTCAAGGGGCGCACAAATTCAGTGAGTACAAATACACAAATCACAATACCAGAATCCCATTTAACATAGCAGGTTAAAATAGGAAGCACATCATATAAGTGTTACAAGTGAGTTACAAGTTACAAGGGAACAAAATGTGTGTGTGTGTATGTGAAGAAATAATATCAATAAAACAATTAACATCGTGTAGTGTACTCTAGTTCTAGTTTAGTTCATTTATTATGCACCCCATACCCATCTTGTGGGCGGTAGTGGAAAGGGTTACAGAGGCACATAATGGGCTCAGGTACTGAACCCCACAATTCATTTAGCTAAGCAAGTTACAATGTTGATGAGCTAGTTACAAAATTCAATATAAGTCGTCACATCAACAATGGGTTCGAGATCGACCTCAAGTACAGGTTTATCAAAATATATTACTTTAAAACCCATATCATTCACTAAAAAAGATTGGGCTACTTTTATCACAAGTCCGCTACTTTTCGCCCCTCAGCTCGCTACTTTCCGCAAGTTAGATCTGGCAACGGTGTTCTCCCCAGTAGTGATCGCAAGATGGCTGAGTAACGACGGTGGGGCCGTAGGGAGAGGAATTCTGTGGCTTATATGGCTCGAAATCCCCCTTCATAAACAGGTATTGACCAAATTGGGCAGTTAGTGCGTCGAGGGTCCCGATTGGCTGTGATAACTGGCTTCAAATAGGATGTTGGGCGGCGGGACGAGCCAGGCAAAGATGGAGAGGTTTCTCAATAGCGGACGTTTTTATTTGGTGTATTATTTTCTTCTTGAGGGGGATTTGATTGTGATTGGGAGTGATTGGAGTGTGTGTGTGGTGGAGGCTGTGTGTGTGGTGGTGGAGGGAGGCAGTTGTGGCCTACCACAGCCTACTGGCACCTTCTAAAAAAAATCTGGGCTTTAATCTTAAATTTTTTTTCGTTGGGTGGTTGAGGATTGGGGGGGGGGTGATTAGGGAGATGAGGGGGTGAGGATTAGGTGTAAGGTGTGTGGTGAGACACTTGGAGCTGTAACTAAAGGTTTAAAAGTGTAACCACAAATACCTCTTTTAAATTTCAAATATATCTCGAGGGTTCAAAGTAGTACAAACCTGTAACTTATTTTCAGTTATGTCAGTGTTTCTGTATCTTAAGTTAGTTTTAACAGGTTGTAGCTGCTTCAAGTTAGTAAAGTAATTTGGAACAATTTGGCTTTAACCAGTTTTGGAGGAATTTAATTTCAAAATACAGGTCTTTTGACATTTGTTTATAAAACAATTGAGTGGTAAGGCAGGTGACCTTTTGTAGTGTAATTTATATTGATTACTTATGAAAGATAAACTGTAAACTAAAAAGGACTTTTAGCTAAACAAATAGTTCAAAATTCTAATGTATTTAAAGAAAGGGGCTGCACAAAACTGTCAATGTATTTATGAACTTACTCAAGTTTGTTGCAACATTTGAACATCCATAATGGTGATATTAATACCGTCGTTATTTAACATTTAATTAAGTCCCATACTTTATATGAATTAAGTCTAGTCTTTATTTGAATTACAACTTTTAAGTTCCGTGCATTCTTGCAGCCTCAAATATATTTTAAGGTGACATCAGTTAGTATTGGCCAAGCTGCTGTATGAAATGAATATTAGCTGCTGACTGCTATATTGGATGGGGAAACATTGAATGAATTAGTATGTATTTAGAGATGTAAAGAATTGTGTGTATGCCAGTGTCATTGGCTACTTCAGATGTCATGTAGGCTTAGTCAACGTTCTTGGGGAACCAGCACAGACTTATTGAATGCTGTTATCTGCATATGTATTCAACATTCCTGCCAACAAGAGTAATGACCACCTGTGGAATCTTAAGAACAGGACGTCATGTCTCGTCATGTGACATCCAGCCCTCCCCCCCTCCCCCTTCTCCTACTCATCTCGCCATTCTCATATTATCCGACAGCTCTCGTCATCAATCTGCACTATTTGTTTCCCGTTTCTTCCCTTGGTGCTGAGGTTGGAACATGGGGTTAAGGGGTCTTGGGCAGGATCCTCAGTTGCAAGCTCGGCAGACTGTTGATATAATTTTTTCTCCTGTTTCAAATTTCTCCTCTTTATCCGAGATGTAATTTGTTCCCTTGTTTACTTTTCTTTTACTCCATTATTGCCCTCTCACTGTATTGTCACCTGCAAATTGTCTTGTGCTACTTGGCTTAGGTTTTGCCATCTTTTCCTTATCTTTGACTGGTCAAGTGCTACTGATATGGCTTTCCTTGCTTATTCCTTTTTTGCTCCTACTTTCATTCTTTTTTTGTTGCTTCTGATCATATTATTTCAATACCGTAAATGTTTACATGGCTTAGGATTCAAGTCTTTATAATTCAAGGTTTTATTCTTAGTATGCATTTTACATTTTGTATTCACACAATTTAGACTTCTATTTTTTACTTAAGTACATATATAAATATGTGTACTTAATAAAATAGGTATTTGTACCTTATTTTATTAAAAAATAAGTATACAGGTATTTTTATTACAAATAAAAAAATAAGTATACAGGTATTTTTATTACAAATAAATCACACTATTAGGAGTTAGATGTTAGACTAGACATTTATATTTCACTCTTGAAATCCTGAATATTCTGGAATATTCTAAGGTATGGGTATTAGTGTTACTTAAACAGAAATGAAGGGGGGTGGGAATCTTGAGGTTATCTTGAGATGATTTCGGGGCTTTAGTGTCCCCGCGGCCCGGTCCTCGACCAGGCCTCCACCCCCAGGAAGCAGCCCGTGATAGCTGACTAACACCCAGGTACCTATTTACTGCTAGGTAACAGGGGCATAGGGTGAAAGAAACTCTGCACATTGTTTCTCGCCGGCGTCCGGGATCGAACCCGGGACCACAGGATCACAGTCCAGCGTGCTGTCCGCTCGGCTCCCCTGGTCCAGCACCCGGGAAGGTGCTGGACAGAAAAAAATTATAATTGTTCCACGTATTTACATTATTATATAGATTTGTAAGTGAAGTTGCCCTTAAACACTTGTTTCTTTTAAGTATGAAAGTAAAGCCTTGTTAAAAGTTTATTAGTATTATACATTTTTACTATTTCATATAAATACACAATGAACAAAGAGAAGGGAACTATCAGGAGAAAATGCCTAACCATTACAACTAGTAAATAGCACTTGGAAGGGATCAGGATAAGGATTTGGGATGGGACGGGGGAAAGAAATGGTGCCCAACTTCTTGAGCAGTCAGGGATTGAATGTTGACTTGCATGAAGTGAGACCATCGTTCTACCATCCAGCCCAAGTGGTTGGGCATATAGTGTGTACTTACTTAGCTGTGCTCAAAGACCGAGTTGCAGCTCGATTCCCACCTCTCAATCGTCAGTTTATTGTTGTGCAGGTTTCTGAACCCTTTTGGCTCTTGTCGTTTGTCTATTAGAAGCTATGTTTCAAGTCCAACTCCACCATTTCATTGTCATTTTATTTCTTTGTTACTCTGACTCTTCTCTTAATTATATCCCTGTCTTATTTGGGTACTTGTCTTCACCTTGGGCTCCATTATCTCATAATAATTCATATAATAAATAACCTGATAAAATCTCCCTTCTGGTGTCTCCCCAAATTTTCTTTCATTGACACAAGGTTTAGTTTCTTTCATGTTCAATTCTATGTATGACAAAACGTATACAGTATTCTATACTGGTCATTTTTATATTGGCCGGTTTTACATGTGTAGCTAAAGTCATTCAGTATGACTTGCAACACAATTTGACATATGTTTGATGAGCCCCTGAAGTTTCCCAGACCTGACCCCACACAGACAACAAGCAGGATGATTATAAATTCCAAGTGACCCTAGATGATAAAGCATCAGGTATCCTGTAAAGTTTGGGTAATTGGAAAAAAGTTGTGGTTAAACAGCAAAATCATGATGGCCCTTTCTGAATTCTTGCCCATCGGGCTTACCTGGATCTTACCTGGAGAGGGTCTCTGGAGGAGTTCTACTTCCCGAGCCTGGGCCTCAGACCAGGCTCGACTTGTGATAACTTGGTTCAACATACTGCTGCTTCTTCAAGAAGGGCTAAAATGCATAAAATACCTAGTGGAAATAACATAATGTTTTGTTATTCTCTCGTGTGGTCTTTACATTTAGCACGGCTATGGGAATTAAACCTTGTGTCCCTGGAAGACAGAATACTGTAGTTAGGGAAGACATGATCACCACCTATAAAATTCTCAGAGGAATTGACAAGGTGGACAAAGACAAGCTATTTACTATGGGCTGAACACACAAATGAACACAGGTGGAAACTTGGTACTCAAATGAGCCACAGAGACATTAAAAATAATTTTTTCAGTTAGGATAGTTAACAAATGGAATGCACTAGGCAGTGATGTGGTGGAGGCAGTCAATACATAGTGTCAAAGGTAAATATGATAGAGCCCAATAGTCACAGGGACCTGTACACAAGTTGATTGAGGCGAGACCAAAAAAGCTGAAGCTCAAACCCTGCAAGTGCATCTGGGGGAGTACAAATTAACTGTACTGTACCATGTTTTGAAGAAAACAATTTTTATTTTTTAATGAAGACAATCTATCAATGATCATTATCCCATTTCTTACCTAAATGATCTTGGAAGATATCAGGCCTTGGATCAAAAGGTGAATAATATAGTTAAAGAAGTTTATAGATTTAAAAAATTCAACTCTGCTTGTGTATCATAGATCAACAAGCACCATCTACATGTCTAGCAGCATTCTATATTCATTCCTTGCAGATATTTTTCATTGTCTTGTTTCCTACCATATCCTGTGTGCTGTTCACACATGTGCTTTCACCTGCTTCCACATATGCACATATGCATTTTTTACCTTTGTTTTAACATTTGTCTGTAATGATGCATCACTTTAGCACCCATAATGTCCTTTTTCTTAGCCAGTATGGTTAGCCAAAAAATCGCCACAAAAGCGAAATTTCTTATAGGCGCGATCGTCACTAAGTGGGCAGCTGTAGTAAACTGAGACAGGTCGGCCGTGTGACTGGGAACCACGTGCTCGGTCGACCAGAATGTGTACCAACAAATATCGTAAGTCGACGACACCATCGGATGTCGAGTCGCATTTTTAGATGAAATTTACAGAGTAACTCAAAATTATCGTAAGTATGGGCACTCGTAAGTCGAGGTGCCACTGTACTACATTCTGTGTATTTGGAAAATATTAGATATTTTGCTTGATAATACGGTACACTATTATTAGTTTTGTTACATTGCATCCTGCTTATTTTCAGTGAAGATTTAAAATTGAAATCTATGTATGTAAAGTAGTCATGTACAACCCCACACCTGTGCCAGGTAAATCCACTACGGGCTTACCACATCCCGTGCTACTTGGAACTTTTTGTTCCCAGTAGCTGAATTTAAAACAACTTAGTGTAATAAAATATTAAATAATGAGTGGAAGGGGTTATAGACTTTAGTCCCAGGAAATGTTTAAATTTACAATTTGTGTTCAATGAGTGAGACTGATTATCCGATTTGGATTTAGATGGACATTCACTGGCCATTTACCTGTACAAAATAATTGCTTTAATCACACTAGATTGGCACATGATTATCATGTAATAAGTAGGTATTATGTGAATTGTCTATTTTCTATTGTATGTTCAGTACGGTAGTCACGTATTATAGACCGGCGAACACAGCCATGATGATCAAGTGTGTTTAAATAAACCATTGCACAATTTTATTGTCAGATACCCGATTCTAATAATAATTGAAATTGAAATAAGTTTATTGATGTAAAATACACACAAAGGGATGAGGTAGCTCAAGCTATTCTCACCCCGTTCAGTACATCGTGTTAATACATACATATACACACATCACAAACAATAAACATATTACCAAACATTCTGAGAGATAAACAACATACATTTCCTCCTTTACACAAGTACAGTAGTATGGTATCAGACGTACACACAAATACTTTTATGACCTAGGTATACTGTATACACAATTTACAAGAGACATGCAGATAATTCAACAAAAAATTACAGTCTTGGTGCAAAATTGTTATATCTCTCAAGAATATCATCAACCTTTCCGATTATTTTAAGGTATGCCCAAAATGCTTTGCGTATTTGTGACTTTATTAAATATACATTTTCTGTAATAATTAAACACTTGGCATGTTCTTCTGCATGCTTTTTAAATTATTATTGACTAGCCGCTTTCCAGTGAAATGTGTACAATGATATCTTTCATTGCAAACTTATTATTTCTCTTTCCAGACGCTGGGCTAAGGAGTGGAAGCAAGAGAAACATCACACAATGTCACGTGTTGCACTGAGACTGGTGCTGTCTAATGTTTAACTGAAAATATATAAATTTGAAAGGTTTTTGTAGTTTTTCATTGTTACTGTATAATAATTTTGGTTATTTACAGTAACCAGTTATTGTAACTATAGTTACACACACAAATTTGATACTTTAGTGACAAAAGAACTTGAAACATTTTACAGTGCAGTTTTAACAACATTGAAGCCATTTTATGATAAAAAAGAACAAAATATTCTTGCTAATATGACTAAGTGCTCAAGTGTACGTCGCTTGGCGTGCCAATGGTGTAGAGGAAAAGAGGCCTAGCAGATATTGACTAGGCCACAGGGACAAGTCATTGTTTGGCCTGCGGCTTAGGTTTGATGGTGAACATTGTTGGTGTCCGTACACTGGTCCCCCCCTCTGTGGGCGGCCCCCCTATCACGGAATCCAAGATGATGGCACGCGCAATACTGCAGTGTCGCCCCAATTCCCACCCTTTCCCTGTAAGTACATAAATATATGTTTTCTTCAATATTTACAGCATTTTTCTATTCAATCACATCACAATATCATCACAATAATATCACAATATCAGGCAGGAGGCCTGGTCGATGACCGGGCCGCGGGGACACTAAGCCCCGGAAGCACCTCAAGGTAAGGTAAGACCCATAATCTGTACATGGATGATGATTCTTGAGTAATTAGGTATTCCTGGTAGCATATCTTACCAGGTATACACATTTATGTAGTTCTGAAATTGCTTGTTGCACAAAATTGTCAATGCAATATATGGAGAATACTTTTCCATGTCAATTGTAGACTGGGATATGGGGGGTAGACTGAGTGGTGATACCTTGAAAATACAGTATATATGAAGTAGGGCTTTAGGAGCAGTGTTGTGATGGGGCAGGTGGTAGGGGTGATGGTGGGACGAAGGGGGGGGGGGAGGGGCAATGTGGTGGGGTGATGGGGTGATGGTTGGGCAGGGGATGGGGTGATGGTGGATCAGGTGGGGGGGTGGGGGGATCTGTTGAAGGAGACCAGCTACGGGAGGGAGCGAGGGATGGGCGTGTGCATGTCGCTGTGGATGATGGTTGAGTGGCATGTTAAAGCTTACACACCATTGTTGATGGTAGTTCAGGTCCCCCATCAACTCCCCAATGTCCATGGTAGTTCTGGGCCCCATCAACCCACCAATATTAGTGATGGTAGCACTGGAACCCTGTCAACCCACCATTGTGGTGATGAGGGGGGGCAGATGTGGCACTTGTGATGTGAGAAGGGGTATTTGGGTGTGGCACTTGTAATATGAGGGGGAGGTATGTGGGTGTGGCACTGCTTGGATGGTAGTGTAGTGCTTGTGGGGGAGGAAGGAGGGGGGGGTACAGTAACAATGGTGTCATGGGAAGCAATGGTCTGGTGGGACATGGTGCCCCATTGATGGTCTTGATTGTGAACAGGTTGGCAAGTAATGGTGTGTGTTGTGGTGTAGGCTAAGTGTAACATTGGTGGAGGTAAGATATAGGGATGTGCTGAACGAGGTGTAATTATGGTGATTTTTTTTAAATTTTGCCCCGAGGGGCGAGTTTATTGGGCAGCTCCACTCATCTTGTGAGTGGACATACCGCCATAGCAGCATGTACAACACTCCCCAATAGGAAGAAAACCCACGATGTGTTAGAGGTGATGGTGTGTTGGTGTTGTACTCGTCCCGTAGCCCACAGCCAGCATTGGCGTCGACTCCCAGGGCCGTTGGGGGCCAGGTGGGGGTTGGGGGTACTGAGGGAAGTGGGCAGGGCTGGGCAGGAGGGTTGGGGGTACTGAGGGTAGTGGGCAGGGTTGGGTAGGGTGGCAGCAGGAATGCCACGAGCCCACTCCCTCCCTCAAGTTGGATGTTTAACTACTTCCTGTAGTTAGCACAGTTTAACAATGATGCGAATGACTGCCTTGGCATAAGACTCAGGTCTTTCACACAGGCTAGAGTGGAAGTTCTTGTACTTTGTGATGTTCATTTGTGTTATTCCCGGGATTGTCGTGCTGTTTGTCACTTATCACTGCCCGAAACAGTTGTGTGTACTAGTGGCTTTACAAGGCTGTAAACACATCATACTCTCATAAACTCAATGTAACTTCTTGTATATAAATAAATAAATAAATGTGATGTTGTCAAGGCTGGCCACGGTGGTCGGTCGAACAAGACTATGCACTTAGATCACTTGCACTGTTGCACTGTCCTGTCTTGTTGTTGTTGTTGTTGTTGTTGTCACCCTGTAACCCCTAAACTGCCTCTCACACACAGTGAGGAACCACCACAACTGCCTCACACACACAGTGAGGAACCACCAAACTGCCTCACACACACAGTGAGGAACCACCAAACTGCCTCACACACACAGTGAGGAACCACCAAACTGCCTCACACACACAGTGAGGAACCACCAAACTGCCTCTCACACACAGTGAGGAACCACCAAACTGTCACACACACACAGTGAGGAACCACCAAACTGCCTCTCACACACAGTGAGGAACCACCAAACTGCCTCTCACACACAGTGAGGAACCACCAAACTGTCACACACACACAGTGAGGAACCACCAAACTGCCTCACACACACAGTGAGGAACCACCAAACTGCCTCTCACACACAGTGAGGAACCACCAAACTGTCACACACACACACACACAGTGAGGAACCACCAAACTGCCTCTCACACATAGTGAGGAACCACCAAACTGCCTCACACACACAGTAGGAACCACCAAACTGCCTCTCACACACAGTGAGGAACCACCAAACTGCCTCACACACACAGTAGGAACCACCAAACTGCCTCTCACACACAGTGAGGAACCACCAAACTGTCCCACACACAGTGAGGAACCACCAAACTGTCCCACACACAGTGAGGAACCACCAAACTGCCTCTCACACACAGTGAGGAACCACCAAACTGTCCCACACACAGTGAGGAACCACCAAACTGTCCCACACACAGTGAGGAACCACCAAACTGCCTCTCACACACACAGTGAGGAACCACCAAACTGCCTCACACACACAGTGAGGAACCACCAAACTGCCTCACACACACAGTGAGGAACCACCAAACTGTCCCACACACAGTGAGGAACCACCAAACTGCCTCACACACACACACAGTGAGGAACCACCAAACTGCCACACACACACACAATGAGGAACCACCAAACTGCCTCACACACACAGTAGGAACCACCAAACTGCCTCTCACACACAGTGAGGAACCACCAAACTGTCCCACACACAGTGAGGAACCACCAAACTGTCCCACACACAGTGAGGAACCACCAAACTGCCTCTCACACACAGTGAGGAACCACCAAACTGTCCCACACACAGTGAGGAACCACCAAACTGTCCCACACACAGTGAGGAACCACCAAACTGCCTCTCACACACACAGTGAGGAACCACCAAACTGCCTCACACACACAGTGAGGAACCACCAAACTGCCTCACACACACAGTGAGGAACCACCAAACTGTCCCACACACAGTGAGGAACCACCAAACTGCCTCACACACACACACACACAGTGAGGAACCACCAAACTGCCACACACACAATGAGGAACCACCAAACTGCCTCACACACACAGTGAGGAACCACCAAACTGCCACACACACAGTGAGGAACCACCAAACTGCCTCACACACACAGTGAGGAACCACCAAACTGCCTCACACACACAGTGAGGAACCACCAAACTGTCACACACACAATGAGGAACCACCAAACTGCCTCACACACACAGTAGGAACCACCAAACTGCCTCTCACACACAGTGAGGAACCACCAAACTGCCTCACACACACAGTAGGAACCACCAAACTGCCTCTCACACACAGTGAGGAACCACCAAACTGCCTCACACACACAGTAGAAACCACCAAACTGCCTCTCACACACAGTGAGGAACCACCAAACTGTCCCACACACAGTGAGGAACCACCAAACTCACCAAACTGTCCCACACACAGTGAGGAACCACCAAACTGTCCCACACACAGTGAGGAACCACCAAACTGCCTCTCACACACAGTGAGGAACCACCAAACTGTCCCACACACAGTGAGGAACCACCAAACTGTCCCACACACCACCAAACTGTCCCACACACAGTGAGGAACCACCAAACTGCCTCTCACACACAAAGTGAGGAACCACCAAACTGCCTCACACACACAGTGAGGAACCACCAAACTGCCTCACACACACAGTGAGGAACCACCAAACTGCCTCACACACACACACAGTGAGGAACCACCAAACTGCCACACACACAATGAGGAACCACCAAACTGCCTCACACACACAGTGAGGAACCACCAAACTGCCACACACACACTGAGGAACCACCAAACTGCCTCACACACACACACAGTGAGGAACCACCAAACTGCCACACACACAATGAGGAACCACCAAACTGCCACACACACAATGAGGAACCACCAAACTGCCTCACACACACACACAGTGAGGAACCACCAAACTGCCTCTCACACACAGTGAGGAACCACCAAACTGCCTCACACACACAGTGAGGAACCACCAAACTGCCTCACACACACAGTGAGGAACCACCAAACTGCCTCACACACACAGTAGGAACCACCAAACTGCCTCACACACACAGTGAGGAACCACCAAACTGCCTCACACACACAGTGAGGAACCACCAAACTGCCTCACACACACAGTGAGGAACCACCAAACTGCCTCACACACACAGTGAGGAACCACCAAACTGCCTCACACACACAGTGAGGAACCACCAAACTGCCTCACACACACAGTAGGAACCACCAAACTGCCTCACACACACAGTGAGGAACCACCAAACTGCCTCACACACACAGTAGGAACCACCAAACTGCCTCACACACACAGTGAGGAACCACCAAACTGCCTCACACACACAGTGAGGAACCACCAAACTGCCTCACACACACAGTGAGGAACCACCAAACTGCCTCACACACAGTGAGGAACCACCAAACTGCCTCACACACACAGTGAGGAACCACCAAACTGCCTCACACACACAGTGAGGAACCACCAAACTGCCCCACACACACAGTAGGAACCACCAAACTGCCTCACACACACAGTAGGAACCACCAAACTGCCTCACACACACAGTGAGGAACCACCAAACTGCCTCACACACACAGTAGGAACCACCAAACTGCCACACACACACACACACACACACACAGTGAGGAACCACCAAACTGCCTCTCACACACAGTGAGGAACCACCAAACTGCCTCTCACACACAGTGAGGAACCACCAAACTGCCTCTCACACACAGTGAGGAACCACCAAACTGCCTCTCACACACAGTGAGGAACCACCAAACTGCCTCTCACACACAGTGAGGAACCACCAAACTGTCACACACACACACACACACACAGTGAGGAACCACCAAACTGCCTCTCACACACACAG